TGAACAATTTCTGGTCTAGATGTTGTTTTATCGTGTGTTATTGATTTTCTGCTGCTAAGGGAGTCTGACACAATGACAGCTCTTTGAATAGTGGAAGACATAAGCCACTCAAGAGCTGTGGATATTGTTCGTTCAAGAATTCCCTTAATAGCATTAGAGTGTGTTGTGGATTTTATTTTTTTTTGACGTTACCTAGGCCTGTGTCATCGTTTTGATTTAATAAAGGTCATGGGGCTTGATGCGAAAATACCCTGTCAGTAATCTGATAGTGATCTAATCTTAGGTCTTTTAATAGATCATTAGCTCTGTGACCGAACTGCTGTGTCTCTGATTTGACATTTCTTTTGAATTTTTTTCTTGATGTTTTTGTACAATTAAATGTTGGACAGCTGTTCCCAAGATACTGTAACTTGGCCCAGTATCTCAATGCCAGTTCCTTTCGCCTCAATTCGAGTGACATTTCACCTACTTCCTGCAATAGACTTTCCCTTTTTGTGCCAAATGGGGCTTTGGTTGCTATCTTCATTGCCAGATATTGTAAACTGTTTTATTTGCACTCGCAAACGCGACACAACCATAGTCAAATATTGATCTTATCATGGACCTATACACAACCATAGTCACATATTGATATTATCATGGACCTATATATCATTAGCAGGGTCGTTTTATTTGCTCCCCATGATATGCCCGTCAGGCATCTCATTACGTTCAGAACATTCTGTCCTCGTTTAACAATATTTTCAATATGTGGTATAAAAGTCATTTTGCGATCAAAGGTCACCCCTAGAAGCTTTGCCTGATTCTTAAATTCAATTCGGATATTGATTTATTCCAGTTTCATAGACGACACTTCCCTACAGAATAGCATGCCTACTGTTTTACTTTCAGATATTCGAAATCCCCAGCTATTAGACCATTTCGACAATTTGTCTAAGGCTCCTTGCATTCTCGTAGTTATTCGCTGTATGCCAGATTGAACTGTCGTCTGCATAGACTGCTACGTCAATAAGTTTCTAAATTCAAAAAAATCTGTAAAGAGGCGAACAGCCTTCCCAGATTTCTCTCAGCTACTAGTTTCGTTCTTATTCGAACTCTTCAGGCTTAAATGAGGATGTGTGATGGCCCTCTATATAAAGTATTGGTGGGCACCGGAGCACATGTGACGTCACAGATGGTCCGAGTCGATCTTTGGCACCGAAGTCGATTATTCCGAAAAGTGTGCAAAGATATTCGGCTAAGAAATTTGCCGTCATGATTATGCTTATTTGCATTGACTCAAGGCTCCTAACCCTTTTGAACTCTAAGTTTAAAGTGGCTCTAGGAAAATCTTTCTTGAATTCAACAAGGAGCTCACGAAGTTGTTTTTGCGTTTCTCGATTGAAACGTTGTAAACATACCCAGTCTTCTTTACTGATGTTTGATTCAGCCAAATCATCGCGATTCAATTCCTTGTCTTTGATGCTATTATTTGAACGACTTTCCCCACACTGAGGGGAAAGATGACTGATTCTTTGTTTCACAACGGTATCCAATATATCGAATTGGGGTTTAGTTTTCTAGTAACCGGTAAGATCCTCCAACCTTTTGTAATTTCCGTTGCACGATTTACACCAGAACTTAAGCTGGGCATGAAAGCTACGGTAGTGCCGTTTCAAGTTGTATGAGCGCGTGAAAATCTCCCTACAAATTTACTCTTTTTAAATGTAGTTACTAGACAGAAGGTCATTAATCATGATATTGAAAGGTGTGGGGCTTATAACAGAACCCTTGGGTGTGCCATTTTCGAGTTCGTATTTGTTGCTTATTGAGAGACCTACATTAACGTGTATTTGCCTATCGCTTAGAAAATCCTCGATCCAGTCGAACATTCGTCCTGTTACCCCTAGTCCATGTACTTTTCTAAGTAGGCCATCCACCCAAACTAAGTCGAATGTGTTGATCAGGTCGACGAATACGGCACATAGATAATTATTCTTTTTAGATAGTGAAGTCATGATGTCATGCTGTAACCTTACAACATAATCAATAGTGGAGCGCTGCTGTCTATATCCACTTTGATTTGAACTAATTAATCCATTACTTTCACAGTAATATTTTAGCCTCTCATTTACCATAGTCTCAAGTGTTTTACACAACGTAGAGTTCAAACTTATCGGTCTATAAGAACCGGTTTCATTTTTATCTTTTAATGGCTTAATCAACAGGGTTATCGTTGCTGTTTTCCAGCTTGCGGGAATTATTCCTTATGACCATGATTTATTGAATAATTCTAGATTTAAATTACGTAATGACCCTGAGAGTTTTCTTAACATGCTATAATTTATTTGATCTTCGCTAGCCGCCGAGTCAATTTTGCCACTTAAACCTTTATGCATTTCTTCTATGGTAAAGGGTAATTTATTTGCTTTATGTTCATCAGCTGAGTTACGCGATGGTTTATTCCAATGAAATTCCGACTTTCGATTTAAGAATTGGTCACTGTGAATGTTATCGCTATTGCCATCAGCAAACCTTTTTGCTAACAGCCTCGCCTTTTCGCTATTTGTCATGGCTGATTGGGATTCATATTTAAGCGTAGGAATATTTCTAGAAAAACATTTGCTGCTTATTGCGTGTATTTTTTTCCAGACATTTGAATTTTTAGTTTTATCATTATTACTATCACATAATGCCATCCAATGCTTTTCGTTTGCCTCTGAAATGACCTGTCTGGCTTTTATTCTCTGCGGACCATACGTGGAAATAGTTTTTAAGTGATATTTCCCTTGTATTTACGACTGTTTGACATTTTGGGGACCACCAAGTGTTTTTGGGGCGCCTTTAGTTTTCCCACCTGTTGTTCTGGGGATTGGGGCTTCTGCTACACTAAAGATCACGCGCGAAATATTCTCGGTAAATTTATTTATATCATCGTGTATAACTGCGCTTGAGTCGATTTCTTCACGGTAGTGTTGAAAAAGAACCCAGTCTGTGTATTCAAGTTTCCATTTTTGTTTGCACGTGACTGATTCTTTATTTACGTTTGAGTTTATTTCAGATGATCACTACCTAGCGTATTATTTATGACTTGCCTCTTACAGTTTAAAGCTATACTGGGAGATGTTAAGGTAAGATCAAGGTGGGTTGCACCCAGTTTGTTGCCGGAACCGATACATGCTGGGTCACCGTTATTTAGTAGAACTAAATTGGAATTTTCAATAAAATTATTCAGTTTATCTCCAGCATTATTATTAAGAGGGGAGCTCCAAGTGGAGTCTTCACTGTTAAAATCTCCAGATATAATAATATCTTTAGTTTTTATTTGATCATATATTTTTTGCTTACCAGGTGGTTCAATTCTTTCATACGTGGTCTGAAACCATTAGTATTTAGTTGCATTATGGGTAACTAATTGAATACACCAATGTGAGTTATTGGATTATTTGACTGGAGAGGTTTAATTCTTATTAATGAGCCAGTTAGAATATTCGTTAGTATTTTTCTTATGTATTTTGTCATTAGCCTTGGGATTCTTCTTATTTTTATGCACATGTCCTTTGTTCGATGTCGCCTCGGCATGAACAGACACAACCATTGTTCGCTTGTGAAATTTACTTTTCAAGGGAGATTTGCTTTCCCTTCGTTCAACTGGGTCTGTGGTTGGGCGATTTTTAGATACTTTCTTCTTTTTAGCCGCATGTGAGATGTAATCATCTGAGTGGTCAGATAACATCTCATTCTTACAAACCTCAATATCGGATTCAGCTTTTTAGGTATTGTTAATCGCTTGATTAGGAATTGTACTATTTATTTCTAGATGGTTGTCAATAATATTTTTTTGCACTCTGTTTAATAACGTTAATTACATAGTCCTTACACCAAGTGGTGTTGTTTCTAATAAAAACTCGTAAAAAGAGTTTCTGTCTTTAAAAGTTAGGGTGTAGTAATTATGTGATTCTTTCGGTTTATCCTTATCTAGAATTTATTTATCAGTTAAAATATTTTATCTCTTAACACTCCCTTCTCGTGTATCCCTGGATGACATTATAAATAATTTTGCTTCCTTAAATGAAATGTTCTTAGAATATTGAATTTTAAGAATTTCTTTTATTTCAATGAATTTGATGCACGTTTTGTCAGTTGACTTTCGATGTTTTACACTTGCAATGAGACTCATTATGTCCAAACTTTTGACAGTTTCTACATATTTTGACACGGGGAATATAGGGTATACTGTTTTTATCTGATAACCTAATTTTACTTTTTCCGGGGCCTGTCCCCTTTTAAACGTGACTTGTATGGTTCCTGATTTTTTGCCATCTGGGATTCTGTACCTACACTTATAACTTTATAGGTCGTCTAAGATTTCTTCGTTTGTGTATTCCCATGTGATAGCATGAATAATACCCTGCTCCTGGGTTAGAGATAGGGGTGGGGCAATTATCACTTCTACTCCGTGTAGTTGTTCGATCTTGCAAGCCATTTCTGCATCACTGGTAGTTTCAAACGCCAGTTGCACGTTCCCATTTTTCAATATTTTAATTTCGGCAGTGTCTTTTATTCCCCATTTGCTATTGATTTCGTCGCCGATCGTTTTAGTTTTTATAGCAATAGATTTTGTATAATCCTTAGGCTTGACGGTGACCACTTTGGTGTATTTATTAGTAATTAATTTATCAGTATGTTTACAACTGCCTACTGCTTTAAAACAGTTACGAAGTGGTGTATTTAAAAGGGTTACATCTCACTGTGCCCACTTTTGATTAATCCAATTAAGGTCTAATTAGGATTAGTGTATTAAGCGGATTAGGATTAGGTGTTATAGGTAATTAGATGGAAAAAAACAAATATTGAAAGTGACTAAATATTCAGTCTTATAATTGGTGAGATGAACTCACTGTAATCGTTAAAGTGATGAATTTTATTCAAAAAATGACACTTGAATATAATATGAATTATGTTCAGTAAGCCTACACATTACACGGTCTTTATAAGGACACACAGAATTCAGTCTGTCATATTTCATCATGGCAAACGTTCAAGTAAACATCCAGTACATCCCCAATGCTCAAGGTGGAGAAAACTTAGTCCATGAAGAATACAAATTCCGAGTGAAGAATAGGAAGGCAGAACGAGTATACTGGAGATGTTGTATAAAAGGTTGTCCAGCAACCCTGAACACCCACCAAGGCTTTATTACCAAATATTCCAGAAACCACAACCATGTTGCTAACCCACACAAGGTGGCAGTCGACAAATTTCTCGTTGCCATGAAAACCAAGGTGCAAGAGGAAACCAAACCAGTCTGTGCCATCTATCAAGAAGAAGTATCAGGTATGTATTTATCTCTAATGTTGTGTGCCGTTGATTTAAATGATTCAACGTTAAAGCATACTGAACATGTTCTTCCGTAACAAACCAATCGAGTGTCTGGTCGAGTATTAATGATATAATAATATGTATAATAAATATTTTCTTTTTGTTTGTTTACAGCCCTTCGATCTGACCGTGACTCAGGTGAGATGATCAGAGAGATTCCAACATTCTATAGTTGCTGTGCTTCCCTGTATAGAGCCCGAGCAAAGATCCTCCCAGCACTTCCTCAGACCCGCAACGATATCCAGCTTCCAGATTCTTACACCAAGACCACACCCGGAGACGACTTCCTTCTCCACACAGCAGCCGACAACAGGTTTCTAGTGTTTTCCACACAAGAAAATCTTTACCATCTCGCCAATGCAGACACTATATACTGTGATGGAACATTTAGCATGAGTCCTACCTTATTCACCCAGATCTACACTATACATGCTTTTGTACACAATAAAATGTTCCCTTTGGTGTATGCACTATTACCCGATAAGAAGGAGGCAACATATGTTGAGTTCCTCAGATGTGTTAGAGACAAAACATTGGCACTTGTCAATGTTAATCTTAACCCAGGCCATGTGTTTACAGATTTCGAAGTTAGTATGCAAAATGCTGTGAGAACTGTGTTGCCGAGGTCAGAACTAAAAGGTTGTTTTTTTCACTTTGGTCAGTGTATTTGGCGCAATGCGCAGAAATATGGACTACAAGCAGATTTTTTCTCGGGTGCCAGAAATCAATAAAATCGTCAAGCAAGCAGCAGCATTACCATTAATTCCAATACAGCAGGTTGAAGATGTATGGCTGCATGCCCTTGATGATGCACCACTCCAAGATGCCAGAGTGTTGCAATTTGCAGATTACGTAACTGAGTTCTGGGTGGAGGGGCAGCATGGCAGAATGATGTGGAACCATTTCCACACTGAAGGTCCACGCACAACGAACCATGTTGAAGGATGGCATTCCAAGATAACATCCAGTATTGCCACCCCTCACCCAAATATTTTTAAGTTGGTGGCTTTTTTTAAGAATGAACAAGCTTACTCCGAAGTAACCATTCTCCTGTTAGGTGCCAACGGAAAATTACGGCCTAAGAGAAGAAAGTGCAGGCAACTAGAAACCCGACTCCAAACTCTGAAAACAGATCTTCAGAACGGTATAAAGACTGTATTCGAGTATGCCGATGGCGTAGCCCGTTTAACTACATTGTAAATTTTCATTGTTTATCTTGTTTTTGTGTGATGTATGATATACCCATGTATGTTATACTTTTATTACATATTTTATATATAAAACATCGAAAATTGTTATATTTTCATTAAATTATAAAGTGCTAATGTGATGTATGATATATCCATGTATGTTATATTTTTATTACATATTTTATATATAAAACATCGAAAATTGTTATATTTTCATTAAATTATAAAGTGCTAATGTGATGTATGATATATCCATGTATGTTATATTTTTATTAAATATTTTATATATAAAACATCGAAAATTGTTATATTTTCATTAAATTATAAAGTGCTAATGTGATGTATGATATATCCATGTATGTTATATTTTTATTAAATATATATGAAACATCGAAAAATAAAAAAAAAATTACATAAAATATTTGTTTTTTTTTCCATCTAATTACCTATAACACCTAATCCTAATCCGCTTAATCCACTAATCCTAATTAGACCTTAATTGGATTAATCAAAAGTGGGCACAGTGAGGACACACCTTTAAAAGACATTCACCATAGCTTGAACATTTTGTATTCATGGCCGCCATATTGATTCTACGTAAACAAAGTCTTGGGAATAACTCGAGATTTTAATTGAGAATTCGGAGTCAAATAACTGCAACAATAAATTTTTTGTTTGTTTTTGTTTGTTTTTTTTTTAAAAAAAAACATTATTACCCAGATCTAATATGGTAATGCCAGGGATGGGGCCCTGACTTATTACCTTACATGTTTTTCCCTATACAATTTTAATTATCAATAATGCAAATATCCAATTACATAATATACAATATACAAGATAATAGCAACATTAATAATAAAAGAAGTAGAGTAGTCATTTTCTGTTCATATGTTAAAAAGTTAATATTCGTCTGATAATAGAGAATCAATTACTGACCATTTTTCTAATTTTTTTGAGGTATAATGAGCTATAGCAGATTGGTACCCAAAATAAGAGAGCAGTGAAGATAGGTTCAAAGTTTGGTTTTTCTTCTCTGAAACATATATATGAAGAGAGAAGAGAAATGGGGTTTAACGCCCACTCGACACAAACTAGGTCATTTCGGGACTAACATGGTTTTTTAATTTTTTATTTCAATAATTCGCTTGCGCGTAGGGGTCTTTAGCAGTGGGAGGAAACCGGAGGACGCGGAGAAAACCCACGAGGTTGGACAGGCGACCCTACTCCTTGTCACGTACAACCGGGGATTCGAAACCACGCCAGTCGACTCAATGACAGACTTTATGACACAGCGCGCGCACGCTAACCATTCAGCCATAGTTCTTGGACTATTTTACAGGATGTGAAAAAATGAATTAAGTCTTCTGTTGAATCTTATAATATAATATGCCTGCTTATAATATTAGTAAATCTTATAGGTTGTAGTAAATTTGTACTTAGCTTGTCGTAATGTTGGATTATCTTTGCTTGCTACGCCTGCATGATCAGAGAGCTGTCTGAATACGTCCATTCAGTTAGATTGTAACAATCAAACATGAATGAAATATTGTTGTTGTTGTTTATTAAAGATATAACGTCCAATACATTAGATATGATATTATGGACAGGTTGATTTAATTAAATTTACACTTAATGGGTTGAAAATTGGTAAAAACATACCAAACGTCCGTGTATATCAAAAGTCTAACCCACAAAATAAAAAGTCCTTGTATATTAAAAAATCAATTTAAAGCACACTTATACAATCGCTGTCGTGAGAGAGCGGGTGGGTCATCTTCTCCCTGTGTCATAATAAAAACATGTTAAAAACGAAGGTCCAGCTGACTGATGTTTCGCGCCATCGGTGCGAGTAGAAAAAAACCCGTGGGGAAAAAAGTATTCCGATTCCGTTATGTGGAAAAGCGAATGAATGAAATGTTGTTTAATGGCACATCAGCTCCTACTGGGCTATATTGCGCCAAACATATGGTGAGGTTTCTTGAGACAAACTAGAAACAAATAATCGCAATATTATCTATATATATACATAAATAAAAACAAATATCACAGCAAATATCAAATAAAAATAAATATAAACTTTATGTATATATATCCGATATATACAATTAAAATTTTCGATAAAAATCTATCTCTTTTAAAAACAATCTAGCCCTTTACAATATATACCCGGTTGGGCAAACAGCTGATGTAGTGATTGGCAACGGTAATACCGTAATCTTGTATCTTTGGGATACTTACACCCAATCAAAATATGCTTAACTGTCAATGGAACATGACAGTGTTCACATTCTGGTTGAGGCTCTCGCTTTAAGAAGAAAATATGTGTTAAAAAAGTATGACCTATGCGAGAGCGACAAAAACAACTTCATCTCTCCTGTTGGACCAAGGAGGGGCTTTATATGATGAAGTTTATTTGTGCCTGCAAGATCCCAAGACCGTTGCCAGCGATCGTATATGAAATTATTAATAATAGATTTAAAATCCTTATATGGTGTTAAAAATTGTGATATGGGAAGATCTAAAGCAGACATGGCAGCCGTGTCTACTTGATCATTCCCTTTAATATCGTTATGACTGGGGAGCCAGCAAAGGACAATTCCTTGCTTATGAAATCATATGAAAGTAGCAGACGATAAATGTCTGCTAATAATGGGTGATCAAGCTGTTTATTATTAATTGCTTGAAGACAGGACAAAGAATCAGAAAAGATGACGTGTTTTACATCTGGTGAGGACTGAATGAACTCCAAAGCTTGGATTATTGCCGGGAGCTCAGCTGTAAAAAAAGCAGCGGGTGGTAGTCGAACAGAAATGGTCTCAGATGATGTCAAAGTAGCCGAAGCTACCCGATCATCTGTATATATTGGAGTATAATCACCATATTTATACCTTAACTCTCGAAGGAGAGACTGAAAAACCGTGGTGCTAGTGTCTCTTTTTATGTTGTGTAAGATCTTTGAGGGAGATATAGCCCACGGTGGAGTCCTAAAGAAAGGGGTATTCGCAATACTGCCAAGGCTGATACCAGCTTCCGGCAAAAGGGATTGTATGCAAAAACCGCTGGTGGGATAACTTTAGTCTTGAGCAGATATAAATGCTCCTGATACTGTGTTAAATGAAATATGGTGTTAAATGAAATAAGTCTTAAGCAGATATAAGTGCTCATGATATGGTCTAAATATAGTGTTCAATCAAATATGATTGGGTAAAAATGCTATTTTCGTAGCATACTGCAGTGCCAGTTTATCACGTCTGTTGTCCAGTGAGTGCTCATGCGCCTCGAAGTATAAACTGTCCACTGGGGATGTACGAAATGCTCCTAAGCTGATTCTAGGTCCCTGGTTGTGTATGGCGTTGAGCTCTTTGAGATAAGACTCGCGGGCAGACTCATACACAATACACTCATAATCGAGTTTAGATCTTATTATAGCTCGATATAATTCAGGATTTGATAAGACTCCCAATATGTTTAGGGCTTTCAGACATTTCTTCCTGAGGCTTTTAATGTGAGTGATAAATGACAATTTCTTAAAAAAATATCAGCCCCAGAAATTTGGTTTCCTCCACAATTGGTAGGCGATGGCCATCCAAGAACAATTCTGGATCAGGATGCAAGCCTCTTTTCTGACAGAAATGCATGCAGACAATCTTTCGTTTTTCGAAATCCATTTTCGGTTGCCCATTGTTGAAGTGATTTCAAACAAAGCTGCAACTTACGTTTGATTATCCGCTGTACTACCATAGCACATCAGAAAGTCATCAACATAAAGAGCGCCGTTTGTACCTGGTTTAAGGCACGCTGGGATCGTGTTAATTTTTATAGCAAAAAGAGTAGGAGATAATATGCTTCAATGAGGAAATGAGTTGTTCCCAGTTGTACTTTAAATGACCTATCTTCCAAGAAATGTTTAATGAAGATAGGTAAGCGTGGTATCATATGCTTTCTCTTGATCGAAGAATATTGCAACTAAATGTTGCTTCTGGATCAAAGCGTCCCTGACAAATGTTTCAAATCTGATGAGATGACCAAGACTTCTCCTTTGGGACCTAAATCCACATTGGAGGCCAGTAATAAGGTTGTTGGACTCGAGGTACCAAACAAGCCTTCGAATGATCCAACTCTCCATGGTTTTCAAATACAGCTAGTTAAAGCGATCGGACGATAGTTGATAGGATTCGTATGATCTTTACCCGGATTAGGGATGGAAATTATTGTGGTTTCATGCCACAAAGGAGGGAAATTCCCATCTACCCAAATCTGGTTAAAAAGATCCAGCAAGATTAAAAGTGTTGACAAAGGTAAATGTTTTAAAATCTGGTAATGTATTTCATCTGGACGAATTGCAATTTCCTGAGCTCGCTTTAGCGAATCCCGAAGCTCTGCATTCATCATTACGGGACTTGTCATTACGGATGAGCATGCGTGTTCCCAGATAGTTACTATCAATAGTATTGGATATAATTTTATAGTTACAATATTGATATATCTTTGATTCATTAATAATTTTCGTGTTTAACACTGTTTCTTGTAAACAAAGTATCTCTGTATAATTGAATTTATCTGTCGCTTTTAGCGAATCCCGAAGCTCTGCAATGGTAAAAATATCATTGTAGTATTCATTATTGCGGGACTTGAAATTAAGTCGCCTTTTCTCCTGTTGTTGTTTAAATAATGCCTCGAAATTGGATGATAAATTGAATGAAAATGTACTGGCCAGAGAATTAGCAATATCAGGAAATGTTGTTAAGGTGGTATTATCAACATCT